TAAGGAAATATTTTTATTATTACTTGAGTAAAAATATTCGTTCTTTTCATTCCAAGAAATTTAGACTGTAATTTCTTTACTTCTTTATATATAACCTTGTTAGCATACAACAAGAATTTTTTATTTTAAAAATATAGCATTCTTTACACATAAAAATCCTGCTACTGTTTTTATTAAAGTTTGCTGCATTTCAAAACGAAGGTGAAACTCGAAAAATCCTTGGAAAGGACTAATGAATATGGTAACTAATGAAACTAATAAAATTTGTTTTTAATTGCGGTATAATTAAAAAATCTTTAAAAGAACCAGATTGAGTGTACCTATTAAAACAATATATAAACTATGACAATTTTATTATATACTTCAGATTTTATTAATTTTCTATAACAAACTTTATTTTGTACATCTAAAGCATCCTTAAAAGATCTTCCCAAGGCTCACATCAGTTTTTCATGTTAAAGCTTTATTTCGTAAAATCTAAGGCACTCCTAATAAATTCTTCTCGGAGGCCCCCAACAATTTTCCTTATCAAAGCCTTCATTTGTAAAATCTAAAGTATTCCTAAAAGACCCATCTCGGGGCCTGATATGGTAATAATGAGGCGTCCTACTTTCACCCTTATTGGGGCCTTATACTTCATGAGAACGGCCCTAACAATTTTTTGCTCGGGATATCGCGACTATGATCGAGATTCACGCGGAATGTTACGGTGGCAGAGAAAAGATAAAAAAAAAGTGGGCAAATTCGCTCGAAGATAAGTGCTGAAAGTAACAGCGATTCAATTTCCGATATTAAATCCCCGCCATAACGCCTCCCCTCCTCTGCTTTAACCTCTCCAGTGGCGGCCTGCCGACCGCGACGAGGAAAAATATATAGTCGATGGAATTTCCATCACGTGGCTTGCCAATTTGCCGTATTGCCCTCCTTCCTCGCCCGTCTCCCCCCAGCGTGTGTGCTGCCGCCACAATTCCCGGATCTTAGCGAGACGCGATTGTTATTGTGCCGCCTTTTTGTGCGGGAGCGAATAAAACGTACCATTCGCAGGCGCGGCGCCTCCGTAATCAACAGGTCTGTTCCGAAATCAGAAACTTTCGGAAACTTTGGTTTTAGTCATGAGGTTGGCAGACCTTAAACTAGCTTAGATACTTTCCGTGATTGATTAGCTTGGACGTCACAGCCATGTACTATTTCTGTTTGCAAACTTTTGGCTATTAATTTTGCAACATTAGATAGAGAAATGGATAGATCTTCTGTGATTTGTTATCTTGATAACTGATCAGCTGATCAATCACGGAACGTATCTAGGTTAGTTTAAAACGTACCAACCTTATGCGACTAACGCGCGCGCGGCGCGGCTCTCCCGCCCCTCTCCCCTCTCGCGAAAATAACAAAGCAGCGTTCGCCCGCGCGGATTCGTCGTAAAAATATTACAGCACACTCGCGCACATAGGCGGATATTTCGGAAAATAGCGCACTATTTTACCGCGGGACAGGCGTGCGCGGCAATTTCGCTGTATCGTTTACAGGCCGAGATATACAGAGTGTCTTAAAAATACCGGAACCCCCGGATAACTTCGCGGGATCAAGTTTTCATGAAAAACTTTAAATACAAAAGTTGTAGAAAATCGGGTAACGGACTTGATGGTGATCTTGAATTTAACCTTGACCATGATCTTCAAGGTCATTTGGAGGTCAACTTGCGTTTTTTAAATAGGAACTCTTATTTTTTATTACACTGATTTTTTTCTACCAATTAATTTGTACCACTTTTGTCTAAAACATTTTTTTATTTGCCTAATATTTTTTTAGATATTTGAGGAAAACTTGATAACTTTTTCAATATTTAACTTACGATATCTCGTTTCCGTGATTGATCAGCTGATCAGTTATCTTGTTATCAAGATAACAAATCACAGAAGATCTATCCATTTCTCTATCTAATGTTGCAAAATTAATACGAACTATTGTGCGGAAGAAAATGTGGTACTAGACTTTCTTGCTTTATTTAATCTTAAGAATATATTGTTACAATAGCGCCCTGTTTCTGTTAATTTGATGATTTTGAAATTTCCAAAAGTCAGTAAGTTAACAAAAGTCAAGGCGCTATTGTAACAATAATATTCTTAAGACTAAATAAAGCAAGAAAGTACCATTTAGTATCACTTTTTCTTCCGACAAATAGTTAGCGAGATATCGTAAGTTAAATACTGAAAAAGTTATCAAGTTTTCCTCAAGTATCTCAAAAAATATTAGGCGAATAAAAAAATATCTTAGACAAAAGTTGTTCAAACTAATTGGTAGAAAAAAACAGTGTAATAAAAAATAAGAGTTCCCATTTCAAAAACGCAAGTTGACCTCCAAATGACCTTAAAGGTCATGGCCAAGGTCAAATTCAAGGTCACCATCAAGTCCGTTACTCGATTTTCTTTTGTTTTTCATAAAAACTTGATCCTGCAAAGTTATCCGGTACTTTTAAGACACCCTGTATATATGGGTCGGGATAAAACTCGCTGGCGAAACTATTTCACGTGCGACAGGTGTTAATTCCACGCTGATTACTTTTACACCATGAATGAACCGAATAAGTGCTATCGACTCGCGATGCCCGTTGCAATCCGCGAGATACACGCGGCGCGCGACGGACTGCCTATTAACGGGCATTTCCATTACGCGAATTAACTTTGAGCGCCGTTGCCGCGAGCGTAAGCGGTGATTCGATGTGACTATCTCGGTGGCGAGATGAAACTCGCTCAACTTGCGACTTGCTGTTGCTTAAATAGCTATTGTTTAAATAGCGGCCCATGACTCTCTCGTGAATCGGTGAAACATCCCCAGTTCGAGATCGTGTTGGAATAAAGTTGAAGTCACACGGAAATCGATTTGACATTTCTCGGATTTCGTCACGGTATCCGAACATGTCGCGCGGACTCCGATAATCTAGTCGTTATTCAGCTTACATTTTAACTCTTTGCATCCTGAATTAATTTACCTAAGACCTTATAAAATTCCTGTATAATATAATAGATTTGGTATATTATAAATACAAAGGATAAGAAAATAAATTTTATAACAGTTTAATGGTTAATTTGTAAGATGTCTCTTATAAATATCGACAGAAATGTAGGATAAAATATAGAAAAAAGTTCAAAAATATATGAACGTTTATATAGAGCGGTACTTTTGAATACCGTCGGGATATAAAGAATTAATCAAGTCGGATGGATGCATCCATATGTCTGATCGACTCGACTTGAAAATCAGGCCAACTAGATATATTGAAATCGTGCGAAATTCATCGTTCAACTTGACATTTTTTAAATTTCATCGCGATATCTGGAAGATATGCAGATGTCGACGATTTAACCCTTCTTATGTACAAATTAAATTAACAAATCCATATATCGACTTAAATATGTTACTAACTGAATATCAATTAAACAAATTTAAATCAAGTTGAAATCGTATGGAGAGAGAGAGAGAGAGAGATAGATTTAATATTTCTAAAACTTCATCACCATTAGAACACATGTTGATAATGTAGTTGTTATTCAGCTTACATTTGATAAATCGAAGCGATATATTATCCATATTATTATTATTATTATTTATTAATACATAAGAGGAAAAAAACACTCTTTGATACACATTATTTAAAACGAGTAGACTCACAATTAAAATAAATCAGTAAAGAAAGAGAAGATATATATATATATATAAAATTAAATCGTAGTATCGACTTACAACAACGAATACTTGATAAAAGTATAAATTATAAATTCCACAGAAATGAACAAGAGCGCGTTGAAGAATAATCAAGGTGCAAAATCAAGCGATAAACAAATGCGCATAAAAGCATATATCGATTTGATTTGAAGAGGGTACTAATTAAGAATTAATACATACTTGAATCAGGGTCAAGTTCGATTTCGTATTTCTAAGATTTCATCACGATATTAAGTATTATATGTAGATGTTGACAATCTATCCAGCTTACGTTACAAGTTGAATCGATACATCTGTATATCGACTCGGCTTGAATATAACGCAGACTAGACACCGACTAGATCATCGATGATCAGTCAACATCTGTATGATACCTTCTAGGTATCATATTTATAAAATCGTACGTCGACACAATGTTGACGAATGTCACGTGAATCTGTCGTCAAATCAGCAGCGCGATCAAATTTTCGATTCGATCGTCGCGACTTGCAGACCTGTTCGTCGCGACGACGAGTCAGTCGATTTCCTCAAGATCCAAGAGACGCGCGAAATTGCCCCGCAAACTCCAGCGTCGACTCGTTTGTCACTTTAAAGCGGTCCGCGGGATTAAAAAAAAACGAACGAAAACCAAAAAAAGAGGGAAAAAGGAGGGAGGAAAAAATCCGCCGGTACTTAAGCATTCGCGCTCAGTGCACGATGGTTCCTGTTATGAGATAGCTGTATGGACGCTCCATAACGCCAAACTTTCTCCACAAAGGCCCGTTTTTTTCCATGAATATATAACGCGACATAAAATATCCCGCGTGTGTCCGTGGCGTGGCGCGCGGTAAAAGCCGCGGGATATTTTTCGCGAAACTACCGCGACTCTTCCCGACACGCAGGATTTCCGTCGACAAAGCGCTCTTCGCGCGCGATATTTCGATCGGCCGCGGCGGCTCAAAGACGAACACGAGGACGTGCTTCGCGAATGCAATTACAATCGATCTCTCTCTCTCTCTCTCTCTCTCTCTATCTCTCTCTCTCTCTCTCTCACCCTCTCGAAAAATACTCGAAAGGCGCTGAAACTTTGACCGTTTCAACGCCATCGCCACCGCTAACACCGTAGCACGTGTGTTGCCGTTGGCCGAGCACTAAAAAGCTCAAAGAAAGAAGAAGTAGAAACTCAGCCTGGCGAGAGAGAGAGAGAGAGAGAGAGAGAGAGAGAGAGAGAGAGAGAGAGAGAGAAAGAGCGGAATCGCAGCCTATTGACGCGCAATCCTGTGTCTTGGTTGTTTCAGTGACGGGGCTAGAGCCAGACTTCGTTTACCCGCTGGAGAACGTAACGATCCCTCAGGGTCGAGACGCTACCTTCACCTGCGTGGTGAACAACCTCGGTGGATACCGGGTGAGTCCTTCCTCCTCCGCGAGCGGAGATCACTCTGGCAGCGGCAAGGCCCGGGTAACTATTTTACCATTAACCTGTGTCCGCCTGTAATGGACTACTACCTTATCTACTACTACCTGCTACTACTACTACTAACTCTACTACTACCACCACTACTAACTCTACTAATTCTACTACTACCACTACTACTACTGCACCACCTATATGCGCGCGTGCCTGCACCTTACAGCACTGCATTTAACTGCACTAACCGCCAGCTATGAAAAAAACGTATATGTATATACATATATATATACATATATACATGTATCACACCGCCGCAGCAGCCACTATCACCAAGCATCTCTCTCTCTCTCTCTCTCTCTCTCTCTCTCTCTCTCTCTCTCTCTCTCTCTCTCTCTCTCTCTCTCTCTCTCTCTCTCTCTCTGCATATATGACATCAATTTTCATCTACCAACCGATAGCAGAGGAGAGGCGCCGGCCGGCAACCGAACTTTCTCTCTCTCTCTCTCTCTCTCTCTCTCTCTCTCTCTCTCTTGTTTCTCTCTCTCTCTCTCTCTCTTGTTTCTCTCTCTCTCTCTCTCTCTCTCTCTCTCTCTCTCTCTCTCTCTCTCTCTCTCTCTTCACGTCCCGTTACTACTCGTTTTCTTCGCTCACCTCGCCTCGCCGAAGGAGGTGACTCTTCGATCAACAAAATTTCCCGCGAAACGGCTAATGACGTCTCGCGCGCGCGCGCACGCGCCGGAAAAATGCGGCGCATTCGCCTCTTATCAGCCGCGAGTCTCCGCGGCAGCCGACCCTCCGGTGATCGCTGACTATCGCGGAACGACCGCGTGCCGAAGGCTTTCGCGTTTCGCTCGTGTGTTACCGCGATTCGTCCATGAGAAAGCAACGTCGATCAAGCGCGTTTAGCTCGCGATCAATTCGCGTTTCCCCCCTCTTCTCTCTCTCATCTCTCTCTCTCTCTCTCTCTCTCTCTCTCTCTCTCTCTCTCTCTCTCTCTCTCTCCCTCTCTCTCTCTCTCTCTTTCTCTCTCTCTAATCGAGCGCTTCATCGAATCAGCCTCGCATTGGTCGGCGCAATCCCGTAGCGAACTCGCGGAGGCGCGCGGAGTGAGCGCGCAAGTGGATTTATCGATAACGATGTATCGCGATCGTGAATATTAGCGCGGTATAGAGAAGATAGAATTTATATTCGGATCGATCCCTCCCCCCCCCTCGCAAAGCCCGCGCAGCTCACCTTTGTCCCTTTTGAAAAGAATTCGAATCGCGAGAGAGCCTGAATAGATGCAAGCTCTCTCCCCTCCCCCCCTCCTCCCCGTCCCTCCCCCTAGCCCGCTCCGCGATCCATCGTTGCAGCTATTGTTTTTTTCCGACAATGGCTTCCGGGCACATTGCCGGCCCTATTTCCACGGGGTTGTACCTCGCAGAAAAGACTACGTCCGGCACATAGTGACACGTTATGGCTCCTTCGATTTCTCGCCGCAGACGCTCGACAATGCCGCAAAACACGGATAAAAGAGCGCGAGTTGGGATATTTTTCGCGGGCGGCGCGGCGGGGCGAATTCGCGAGAAAAATCCCGACGAAGCCGACGGGACGGTGATTAAGCGAACGGTCAAACGGCGAAGGAGCGGCGCGAGGCTGCCGCTGAATTCGCGCGGGAGAAATACACCTGTGCGTCCATCCTCCTCCCCCTCCGTCGCATAGAAATTTCTCAGGATTTTCTCGGGTATCACGCGGAAAAGTATTCCGTAGTGACGACTAGAAATTTTCACCGTCACGTGACGTTCGGTTGCGAGAACAGGAAATTCTCTTCCCTCGAGCGGGGGAAACTGGCCACGTCTGCTTTCGGTCAGAGGAACTCAAATTTTCCGTCTTGAAAATATATCAGGTGTACGCGAAAGTTTTAGTCCTTTCTTTAGCCCCTTAATGTGTGGTTATTTTAAATTGAAATATTTTCCCGCCATTTTTCTTAATAAGATTGATATTGAAAAATCAGAATAGATACGTGGAAAATTTTCTGGCGTTTAATCAGAATCTCGTTGGGATCCAATCAACGAAACATTGTGTTTGCTTTAAATGTAGAGCTTTGCATACGTCGTTTAATATTCAAAAATATAACACACATTGCTTTATATTCGTAAGACATTAATAATTTATCTTGAAGAGAGGTCGAGCACAAAATACTCGAGATAGTTTGAACATGTTTACGCTTTCAAAGTATTGGGTTGGCAACTAAGTGATTGCGGATTTTAAATAAGAATGAAAATTCAAAATTTTTAATTTGCTTTTTTAAATTTTTTCAATGCATGTATGCGATATATTCAGCTTCTCTGCAATATCACGTGTTGTGCTATGACGATCTGAATCGATAATGGCCTTGATATGGGTCTCATCGACTTCAACTGGATGGCCAGATCGTTGAGCATTTTTCAATGAAAAATCACCAGAACGAAATCTGGCAAACCAAATTTTGACACTGCCTTTCTTTCAAGGCTTCATTCCCATATACGGCACATAACTTCTCGCGTGCTTGCGATGCGTTCTTGCCTTTTCGGAAATAATACAATAAAATATGTCTGAAGTGCACGTCTTGCTCTTCCATTTTTAAATTGGGATAAAAACAAAATTAAAGAACTAATCGATATAATTTTTGTACTAAATGAAAGGTAGAAGTCCAAACAATAAGAAAAAAATATAGGTTAGGTACTTTGAACACGTTAACGAAACAAAAGAAAGTGTAAAATCCATCTGTCGACAAAATCCGCAATCAGTTAGTTGCCAACCCAATATTTAGATACTCAGACAGGCAGTTTCCAGGTATTTGGTTCGACATAAATATAAGACAGAAATCGGAAAGGAGAGAAGACTTTGGAAAAGCGCGTATTCGGCAGAGAAGATAGATGCTCTGTTTGGCCGCTTAGAATTGCATTCGCGAAACATTACGCTGATCCGAGATCTCTCCGTAGATTTCTCAAGCGCAGCATCTATCATTTCGTTGGGCAGCCAGAATGAGGATCCCAATTAGATTCCATCTTGTATGCGGGGACTTGAATCCGCGTAGACTTCGGTAAATCGAGCCGAGCAGCTCAATTAGATCCCGAGAAATGTTCTATGCTGGTCCTTTGTTACCGAATGAGATATCGATGTCGATGTTGCGACGCGTAAGGTTCGTGTCACACACTCGCCGCTAAATAGCGAGCTGTTAAGAGTGTGATTTAGTTTTGTGCGACATACTTTTGCGTGACTTAGTTTCTATTCTCAGAAACTGATTTACTTAAACAAGATAATGTGCGAATACCTCAATCGAAATATTCCCCTTCGCTTTCTACAACTTTTTCCCATCTCTCTGGCAAGAGATGGATCCCGCGACGATGAAAAGATTCTTCTTTGGAGCTGATCCAATTTTCAACAAATTTTCGCATTTGTTCCAAGTTATGAAAGTGTATCCCCTGGAGCATGTTGCATCGACCGGGACAAGTGATAATCGGATGGAGCAATGTCTGGAAAATACGCGAGATGCCCAAAACTTGCCATTCCAGCTGCAAGCGTTTGCTTCACTGATAATGCAACATGAGGTCAAGCATTGTCATGAAGAAGGATCACTCTGCGTCGTTTACTTATAATTGCGTTTATTTATAATTGGTGATCGTCTTTAGTCCAGTGCTCGCTTCAGTTTGTATAATTGTCGAGAACGATCGGCGGTGACAGTTTCATTCGAATTCATAACAGTTCATAGTACACAGTTCATAGAACATCTTCATAGTCCTACCAAATACACAGCGATACCTTTGAATCGTGAATATTGCGCCTCGAAGTGGATGTTGCTGGTTGGCCTGAATCAACCCATGATATCTTTCGTTTGGGATTATCGAAATAGATCCACTTTTCATCCCCAGTAACAATTCGGACAAAAAACTCTTCATTTTTGCCTGCCGATCAACAAAATGCAAATGATCAACCGGTTCGCAGTGGCGTTTTCCGATAATTGGTGTGGAATCTGCTTTTCTTCTTTGTGAATCTTTCCCATATCACGTAAACGTGTCGTAACTCTTGCACGACCAACATTTAATGCTCCGGCAAATTCTGAAGTGGATCGTGCCGGATTTTCGTCCAATAATGCCTGCAAATGTCTCTGCATTTTCAAGCTCTTCTGCTTGCCCCGAACGATCTTGTTAACATCGAAATCACCACTTTTGAATTGTCCAAAGTCTAAACCAATATTCACATGTCTCAATTGATTCCATCAATTGATGGATTATCGCCCTAAGTTTCTATCCAAATTCAATGACCCTCGTTTTCTTCTGATTGAAAAGCAAAAGCAACGCATGTCGGAAATGTTCTTTAAGAAGCTCCATTGTCAAGATGGTATTAACACGATTTTCACCGCGTCTATTGTTAGCAAATGACCAAGTATCACGGATGAGTATCAAGGAAGCATCAAGAAACAGTAGCTTGAAGTCTCTCCAACAAAAGTGACATTAGGGCTATCTTTAGCGAAACCCTCAACACTAAATCACGCTCCTAACAAATCCCGACGACGAAGGGAAGATCGCGAGCCAAGCCGGCGAGCGTAGCCGAGCGCGTTAGCCGCGTAGCTTGAAATTGATTTCGCGCGAGCGCATCCCCCTTCGATGCGGCGTATTAAGCGCTTTAACGGCTCCACTTGTTGAACCGATGACTTCCCGATAGCCGCCGAGACCCGCCCCGGCTCCGCGCTCGAGTCGTGGAGGAGAATTCCCGTCGCGGAAAGAAATTCGGCGACGCGGTCGCCCGGGCGCGAACCTGCGCAGAGCCGTCTCTCGCGTAGGTTTTAATTAAACTCGGCACTCTGTCGGAGTTTATAACTTGTTGGGAGATGCGATTATCCTTCCGGCAATGCGCTCGCCCGCGTTTCAACTTCTTTCCTGCAGCACCGCCCGCCCGGACGATTCTCCGCGCGTCTGGGAGTTTACGCTCTTTCCTAATAAGGATCATCGCGCGCGCGCGGTCGTTTCCTC